GGAATAGAAAGGGGAAAGAAAAGGAGGAAAATGAGGACTCGGGTCATAATTGGAAGAAGAAGAGTATTTTTATTTATGTGACATATTGGGAGCATAATTTGATTCGCCACAATCTTGATGTGATGCACATTGAAAAGAACGTGTGTGATAATGTATTGTGGACGATATTAAATGTTGATGGGAAAGGGAAGGACAATTTAAATACTCGCCGAGATTTGCAAGATATGGGAATTTGGAAGGCACTACATCCTCAGAAAAGGGTTGGGAACAAGTATTATTTGCCTCCTACATGTTTTGCCATGAATAATAGAGAGAAAAGTCTATTTTGTACACTTCTAAAGAATATAAAAGTTCCAAATGGTTATGCATCCAATATCTTTCGTTGGGTTAACCTCAAACAGCGTAGCATATTTGGACTGAAAAGTCATGATAACCATATACTTATGCAACAAATACTTCCAATAGCAGTGAGAAATTTGTTACTGAATGGCACAATGAGATTATGCATCGATTACCGGGAGCTGAACAAGGTCACCATCAAGAATCGGTACCCTCTGTTGCGAATTGATGACTTGTTCGATCAACTTCAAGGTGCCCAAGTATTCTCCAAAATCGACTTGTGTTCTGGCTACCATCAGTTAAAAGTCAAAACGAAAAGCATCGAAAAGACTACCTTCAGAACCCGTTATGGGCACTACGAGTTTTTTGTCATGCCTTTTGGCGTCACAAATGCCTCAGCAGCCTTCATGGACCTCATGAACTGAGTATTCAAACCCTATCTTGATGAGTTCGTCATCGTCTTCATTGACGACATCCTTATATACTCCAAGTCACTAGAGGCCCATGAGTAGCACTTGTGAACGGTTCTACAAACACTACGTGATCACAACTTTATGCTAAGTTGAAAAAATGTGAATTCTGGATCACTAGTGTATACTTTCTCGATCAAGTCATTAACAAAGATGGCATCTCGGCTGACTGTAACCACCCAATTAATAATTATAACATTAAATCCATTAAATATCACATTAACTCTCATGTGACCACACAATTAATAAAGTCAAAAATAAAATAAGATAATAATAACCATAATAATAATAAATAATGACTAAAGAAAATTAGGGTCGCTACATTAACCGTCGAATCAAACCATTTAACCAAGTCACTCTTGTGACAAAATAATTTGAATAAATATATATAATACGTAGATATACAATACATATACTATCACCCTCTCTCTCCCCCCACCTCTCTCTCTCTCTCTCTTCCCCCATGGGTTTTGAAGATCCACACCCCTTCAACTTCTCAGACCTCAAAGACAAGAACTTGCGAGTCGACAGCAAGACTCTCCTCTTCGGTGCCATTTTCTTGCTCTTACTCATCATCTCTACCTACTCATTCGTCTACTTCCTCTACGCCTGCGTTCGTCGCGGCCAATTAACCAATACTGGAACCACCACAACCAACCCACGGCCTTCACCGCCGCCACGGGGGCTTGACAAAGCTGCAATCAATTGCTTGCCAATTGTGTCATATGGGTCTAGCTGCTCGAGCCTGATGATGGGCTCTGATAGTAGTAGTAGTTTTTGCAGAGTGGGTGAGTGTTCTATATGTCTTGGGGGGTTCCAGGATGGAGAGAAGGTGAAGGTGTTGCCTACGTGTCATCATGGGTTTCACTCCAAGTGTGTTGACAAGTGGCTCCGGACTCGGTCCAGTTGTCCTCTATGTAGAGCTTCTGTTGTTCGAGATGATCAGTCATTTGCTCACTCAGACATTCCTTGAAAGACATGAGAGTAAAATAGTGTAAACAAAATTTGATTTTGATTTGAGAGTTTGCTTAGATGTCTAGAAGATTGGTAAGTCAGTTAACCAAAAATTGGGTCCGGACTATTGCCTGGATTCAAGTGTATGGTGGAGATTTAATAATTATATTGTAGGGTTTTTATGTAAGTTGAATTTGAATTTTGTATTAGTCTTTCTAGATAAAATTATGAGTATTTTTTTTAAAAAAATATATAGTATTACTGCTAAGAGATTAGAGAACACTTAATTTTAAATGATGAGACATATTTAAGATATCGAATGAGTCTTGTATGTGAAATCTATCATATGTTGAACTCATAATGTGGATCCCATCATTTATCTCATTCTACAAAAAATTATCAGTTTGCTAAAAACATACATTTGACACACGGAATTAGGCTAAAATGTAATCATTTTTTTTCATCAGTTCCGATTCGTAACTAGAAAGAGCGTGGCTCGAGAGTGGCTAGACACCAAAACGATGTCGTTTTGGTGTTTTTTTTTTTTCGTGTTTTGATGAAGATGAAGAAGAAGAAGAAGAGTGGAAGAAGTAGGAGCTGCGCTGCTGGGTTAATCAACATCAACAAAAAAAAAAAAAATTGTTATCAACATCAACAAGATCTGGGTCTGCAGATCCAGATCCCTTCGATCTCTTTTTTTTTTTTTTCTCTCTTTGCTATACACTTCTGTTTTTCTGTTCTAATGGTGAAAATTTTCTAATTCTGAACAAGCAGTTTTCGGGTTTTAGTTACAGGCAGTGAAAACTGTAAATTTTGCAGTTTCAAATTTTTTTTTTTGGTGCTGGAATGAATCTTGGTTTAAAACTGTAAAATTTTGCAGTTTTAAAACATTCTTTAGAATTGTAAAATTTTACAGTTTCATAACATGTTTTTTAATTTTTTTTTTTTTTCATAACATTTTTTTTTTCTGCTATACATTCTTTATAACATTTTTTCCGACGAAGAAGATGAATGGATCTACTTAGATCTGTTATATATCTACTCAGATCTACATCAGATCTGAGTAGATCTACACAGATTTGGTTAGACATCCGTCTTTCGCCGTTCGATTTCTTTTTTTTTTTCTCTCTTTGCTATACACTTCTGTTTTTCTGTTCTAATGGAGAAAATTTTCTAATTCTGAACAAGCAGTTTTCGGGTTTTAGTTACAGGCAGTGAAAACTGTAAATTTTGGCAGTTTCAAATTTTTTTTTTGGTGCTGGAATGAATCATGGTTTAAAACTGTAAAATTTTGCGGTTTTATAACATTCTTTAGAACTGTAAAATTTTACAGTTTCATAACATGTTTTTTAATTTTTTTTTTCATAACATTTTTTTTTTCTGTTATACATTCTTTATAACATTTTTTCCGACGAAGAAGATGATATATTTTCCGACGAAGAAGATGAATGGATCTACTTAGATCTGATATAGATCTACTCAGATCTACATCAGATCTGAGTAGATCTACACAGATTTGGTTAGACTTCCGTCTTTCCCCTTCGATTTCTTTTTTTTTTCTCTCTCTGCTATACACTTCTGTTTTTCTGTTCTAATGGAGAAAATTTTCAAATTCTAAACAAGCAGTTTTCGAGTTTTAGTTACAGGCGGTGAAAACTGTAAAATTTTGCAGTTTCAAATTTTTTTTTTGGTGCTGGAACGAATCATGGTTTAAAACTGTAAAATTTTGCAGTTTTATAACATTCTTTAGAACTGTAAAATTTTACAGTTTCATAACATGTTTTTTAATTTTTTTTTCCGGCAATATTCTAGACATTCCGGTGAGTCTCCGGCGACCGTTAAACGAAAATCCGACGGTAGTAAGATGTGAACAGTGTCTATAAATTAAAAAAAAAAAAAAAAGATTTTTTGGTAACAATTAAAAATGTGTTGGACTAATTGGTGCAAGTATTTTATTTTGGGATTAGTTGGATTTTGAACTTGTTACATGGGGCTTATCAATAAGTTCCCCTTTTCTTTTTTCATATAACAACTTTCACACAATTTTAACTACTCGATAGAGATGCTCTGAGAAATACAATAAACCAAAAGTGAATATATTAGCCTTTTGGTTTTTTTGGATTAATTGGGTTAAAAGCCAATTTTTTAGCTTTTTGACTCTTTTTTTGTCACATCACCTTTCTATTTTTTTGAACATTTTTTCAAAGAAAAAAAAAAGTCAATAAAAGGCCAAAAAAACTGACTTTTAATCAACTTCCCAAGTCAATTGACAATATTAAAGAGTTCAGAATCGCATTAATTTGATGCAATCCACTTTATTGTATTGTTATGCTTTAAAGAATATGCTAATTTCTCATTATAACTGTGAAACATCTAATATGGTTACTATCTGTTCTAATGTCTTGATGATTGTAAACATCTGTAATAAACATTGGACAAGCTTTTTCAGAAACTCTCACACTGATAAATTTGTCATAGTCAATCCCTAATCATATACTATTAGTGAGATTTTTAACCCTATGTCTAAATGAGTATTGCCAAAACTACAAATCTTCCCAATCATATGACACACCAAAGCAACTTATTAACAACCATAATCCAACCACCAATCAACCACTCCCAGTAAGCTGAGACATCTGAACATTTGTTTTCACCACCACCCCTACTCAAGGGTTGATGATGGCTTGATGCTCTATGTAACCTATATACACTAAGAAAATGAGAAGAAAAAAGAAAAGAAAAAAGAGCACAGGAATATGAAAATTAGTTAATCAGTCACTACGAAGAAGAAGAGGAAGAGAATGACGAAGAAGTCGAAATGGGTGGTGATTCATGACACCTGCATTTTGGGTTGTGAATCACTTTCTCCAAACAGATATCAAGTTTGGAACAAAACACGCAGTACTGCACGGTAAATGCTTTATCTTCAGTTGCATCTTCATCTTTGTCGGAGTCTCCTGTCTCATCTAAGGGGTTTTCAATGTTACCCTGTGACCCTACCTTCCCGTCATTACAACAGCTGAAAATAAAACGCAGAGTTGGAAGAATCATCCAAGCAAAGTTCTTAATGTGCTTGTCACACCAGTGGCTCCCCTGTTCCCAGAACATAAGTAGCCCAACAAGGAGTCCTGCACCTATCCCAAATCCCACGCCTGTATATATGACTTCCCAATCAAACTCTGTCATCAAACTTGAAACCGACTCGTTGGAGGTCGGTGTTGGTGAAGGTAATGGTGGCGCATCATTGCAACTAGTCAAAGGAGGCCCACATAATTCTTTGTTTCCTTCGAAGGAAGTTTCTAAAAATGATTGAATTTGAGTGCCTGTTGGGATCCTTCCAATTGATTATATGAGAGGTTCAGGAATGAAAGAAATGTAAGACTTGCAAGCTGCTCCGGGATGCTTCCACTGAGCTTGTTCCTTGAAAGGTCTAATGATCCAAGCTGTGTCAAGTTTCCAAGTGATGATGGAATATGACCTGTGAGGGCATTGTGCGACAGGTTGAGAACATAGAAGTATTTCAAATCCCCAACTGAATCTGGTATCTCTCCTTCGAAACTATTTTTTGAGAAATCAATGGAGATAAATACAGTTAAAATCTTCACCAGTTCCAACTGTAACCCTTTGATGGTAACTGTCACTGTATCCTGATAGTAGAAGTGATTTAGTTTGAGGAACTCGTAATGCAGGTTATCCATATCTGATTGTCCATTATCCTCATCAACCATCATTGCCTTTCAATGTAAGAAGCATTTATTTGGCAGAAAATCACCAAAGTTGTTCAAAGCTAGGTCAATAATTTGAAGCTTTGGCCAGCTATTATTATGGTCGCCTCCACATTGAATGCCTCCTTGGAACTTGTTGGATCGCAAATTCAGTACACGCAAATGAGATGAGTTCTTCAAGAAGTAAGGGAAGATACCCTTTACATTGTTGCTACAGAGATTTAAAACCTCCAACTTTGTACAAATGCCCAAGGATTGTGGAACATGTCCTTCCAAGTGATTCCCATTGAAGTTCAGTGTCTTTAAAGCACAATTTTCTGGGAATGTCTCTGGAATATTACCAGTAAGATTGTTATTGCGCAAATTCAGTACCCCAAGAGTTGTAGTACAATTTTCAATCAAACATTGCGGTATAGTGCCATTGAATCTATTGTTGGACAAATCAAGAACTTGAAGGTTGCTTGCGTTGCATATTGATTGAGGGATGGCACCAGTGACGCTATTATTTGAAAGAGAAAAGAAAACAGAAGATGTTAGGTTATTGCCAAGTTCTAGAGGGATAGAAGAATTGAAATTGTTGCTTGAGTAGTCCACATAGACAGCTGATTCTGGTGGCATTGGGATTTCACCATGGAGTTGATTGGAATGGAGATCAAGGACAAAAAGACTAGGAATAGTATAGTGTCTCTGCATACCCACTAGGAGATTATAAGAAAGATTCAAATACGTTAGAGTTCCATTGCCAACGTTCCAAATCCAATTAGGTATTTCCCCAGAAATTTGGTTGTCTGAAAGGTCTAAATTGACCATTCTCGATTGGTTCATTAAAGAAGGAAATCTTTGCAGCTTGCAAGAAGCCAATCTTAACGTGCTGAGCTGGGGCAACGAAGTCAAGCTAGAATTACTCTCACTCGCAGTGATTGACAGGCTGTTGTACGAAAGGTCAAGTCTCATAAGATTTTGCAGCCTTGGAACCCATTCAAGCTGTATGGTGCCACTGAAGTTGTTGAAAGAAAGTAGGAGGGTATTAAGCCTTCTAAAATCAAAGAAATGTGAGGGAATGGGCCCTTCTAGTTTGTTACTACTCAAATCTGGTGTATCCAATGGAGACAAGGATCCATTCGGAAATTCAGCCACTTTACCCCCAATTGATTATTGGAAAGCAGAATTTTCTGCAATGATCGAAGGGAAAACAGAGACAAGGGAATCCCCCCACTGAATGAAGTGTATGCTAAATCGACATAAACAAGATTTGAGAGGCCTGTAAAGTTACTAGAAGGTACTGAACCTATAAGAGCATTATGAGAGAGATCTATATGGGTGAGATTCTTGGACATCTGAAAGGATGGGATGGGACCAGTAAAGTTGTTAGATGACAAATCCAAATAAACAAGATGACTGAGGTTTGCCATTGAATTTGGAATGTGTCCAGCGAAATTGCAGTCTGAAAGATCAATTCTGGACAGATTTCTTAGGTTACCAATAGAATCTGGTAATTTACCTGAAAAATTCGTGTGGCTGAGAACAATCCTCTGAAGGGATCCATTTTGTAGAAACTCTGGCAAATAACCCTGAAGCTTTATGTTGTTTGACAAGTCTAGAGTCTGCAGCGTTGGTACTTGGAAAATCTTTGGCGGAAATTGTCCTTCCAAGTTAGAAGAACTAAGATTCAAGACTGTTAAATTAGTGAAATTTGTGAAGAACTCGGGAATTGAAACAGAGAGATTACTCAAGACATGAGAGTAAAATAGTATAAACAAATTTTGATTTTGATTTTAAAGTTTACTTAGATGTCCAGAAGATTGGTAAGTATCTTAACCAAAAATTGAGTCGAGATTATTGCCCGAATTCAAGTGTGTGGGGTGTAGATTTAGTAAGTGTAGTGTGGGGTTTTTGTGTAAATTGAATTTGAATTTTATATTAGTATTTCTGGATAAAATTAAGAGTTTATTATTATTATTATTATTATTATTATTATTATTATTTATTTTATTTTTAACGCATGTAGTATTACTGCCAAAAGATTAGAGAACACAATTTTAAATAATGAGACATAGGTGAGATAGATATCGAACGAGTCTTACATGTGAAATCTATCATATGTTGGACTCATAATACGTGAATCTCATCATTTGTCTCATTCTATAAAAAAATTATCTGTGTATTTAGAATTACTCACCATTATTCAAACAAATTTTGAAGCTAAAGGTTAGCACGAGCGTAGAGAGGAAGACAGATTTAACACAATTTAATTACACTATTAGAATACTCACTTATTCGTTAAAAGCATACTTTTAACACACAAAACTAGGCTAAAATGTAATCATTTTTATCATATAACACAACTTTAACTACTCATTAGAGATGCTCTGAGAAATACAGTAAACCAAAAGCAAATGTACTACTCTAAATCAATTGACAATATTAAAGGGTCCGGGATTGCATTAATTTGATGTAATCCCCTTTATCCTATTGTTATGCTTTAAACAAGATTTTAATTTCTCACTATAAATGTGAAACATCTAATATGGTTACTATCTGTACTAATGTCTTGATGCTTGCAAACATCTGTAATAAACATTGGACAAGCTTTTTCAGAAACTCTCACATTGATAAATTTGTCATAGTCAATCGCTAATCATATACTATTAGTGAGATTTTTAACCCTATGTCTAAATGAGTATTGCCAAAACTACAAATCGTCCCAATCATATGACACACCAAAGCAACTTATTAACAACCATAATCCAACCTTCAATCAACCACTCTCGATAAGCTGAGACATCTGAACATTTGTTTTCACCACCACCCCTACTCAAGGGTTGATGATGGCTTGATGCTATATGTAACCTATATACACTAAGAAAATGAGAAGAAAAAAGAAACGGAAAAAGAGCACAGGAATATGAAAATTAGGTAATCAGTCACTATGAAGAAGAAGAGGAAGAGAATGATGAAGAAGTCGAAATGGGTGGTGATTCATGACACCTGCATTTTGGGTTGTGTATCACTTTCTCCCAACAGATATCAAGTTTGGAACAAAACACGCAGTACTGCCCCATAAATGCTTTATCTTCAGTTGCATCTTCATCTTCATCGGAGTCTCCTGTCTCATCTAAGGGGTTTTCAATGTTACCCTCCGACTCTACCTTCCCGTCATTGCAACAGCTGAAAATGAAGCCCAGAGTTGGAAGAATCATCCAAGCAAAGTTCTCAATGTGCTTGTCGCACCAGTGGCTCCCCTGTTCCCAGAACATAAGTAGCCCAACAAGGAGTCCTGCACCTATCCCGAATCCGACGCCTGTATATATGACTTCCCAATCAAACTCTGTCATCAAACTTGAACCCGATTCATTGGAGGTCGGTGTTGTTGAGGGTATCAGTGCAACGCAAGTGTTCAAGGGAGCCCCACATAATCCTTCATTTCCTTCGAAGGAAGTTTCTGAAAATGATTGAATTTGAGTGCCTGTTGGGATCCTTCCAACCAGTTGATTAAATGATAGGTTCAGGAATGAAAGAAATGTAAGACTTGCAAGCTGCTGCGGGATGCTTCCACTTAGCTTGTTCATTGAGAGGTCTAATGATTCAAGCTGTGTCAAGTTTCCGAGTGATCGTGGAATATCACCTGTAAGGAAATTGTGTGATAGGTTGAGAACATAGAGGTATTTTAGAGCCCCAACTGTATATGGTATCTCTCCATGGAAAATATTGTTTGAGAAATCAATGGAGGTAAATACAGTTAAGATCTTCACTAGCTCCAACTGTTGCCCTTTGATGGTAACTGTCACTGTATCCTGATAGTAGAATGGATTAATCCGCAGGAACTTAAAATGCAAGTGATTGAGTTTTGATTGTGCATTACCCCCATCAACCATCATTGCCTTCCAATGTAAGAAGCAATCCTGAGGTAGAAAACCACTGAAATTGTTCAAAGCCAGGTCAATGATTTGAAGCTTTGGCCAGCTATTTTTCTGCTCCCCTTCGCAATCAATGCCTCCTTGGAACCTGTTGGATCGCAAATTCAGGACACGCAAATGGGATGAGTTCTTCAAGAAGCAAGTGAAGTTATCATTTATGTTGTTGTTACCCAGGTTTAAAACCTGCAACTTCGCACAATTGGTCAGAGATTGTGGAACATGTCCTTCCAAGAGATTCCGATTGAAGTCCAATGTCTCTAAAGCACAACTTTCTGGAAAAGTGCCCAAAATATTACCAGTAAGATTGTTATTACGCAAATTGAGTACCCCAAGAGTCGCAGAACGACTTTCAATCAAACATTTTGGTATAGTGCCGCTTAATCTATTGCTGGACAAATCAAGAACTTGAAGGTTGATTGAGTTGCATATTGATAGAGGGATGACACCAGTGAGGTTATTATTTGAAAGAGAGAAGAAGATAGCAAAGGTCAGGTTGTTTCCAATTTCAGCCGGGATAGAAGAGTAGAAATTATTGCTTGAGTAGTCCACATAGATAACTGATTGTGATGGTATTGGGATTTCACCATGGAGCTGATTGGAGTGTAGGTCAATGACATTAAGACTAGTAAAACTATATTGTCTCAGCATTCCCACTAGGAGATTACAAGAAAGATTCAGATACATTAAATTTCCACTGGTAATGTTCCAAATCCAATCAGGTATTTCCCCAGAAATTTGGTTGTCTGAAAGATCTAAATAGATAGTTCTTGACAGGTTCATTGGTGGAGGAAATTTTTGCAACTTGCAAGAAGCCAATCTTAACGTGCTGAGATGGGGAAAGGAAGACAAGCTAGAATTACTGCCACTTGCATTGATTGACAAGTTGTTGTATGAAAGATCAAGTTTTGTAAGATTTTGCAGGCTTCGGACCCTTTCTAGCTGTAAGGTGCCACTGAAGTGGTTGAAAGAAAGTGAGAGGATATCAAGCCTTCCGAAATCAAAGAAGTATGAGGGAATAGGCCCTTCTAGTTTGTTACTACTCAAATCTAGTGTATCTAATGGAGACAATGATCGATTTTTAAGTCCAGCAACTTGACCACCAAATTGGTTGTTGGAAAGCAGAATTTTCTGCAGAGATGGAAGGTAAAACAGAGACAAGGGAATACTCCCATTGAATGAATTATACGCTAAATCGACATTTACAAGATTTGAAAATCCTTCAAAGTAACTAGAAGGAACTGGACCTGTTAGAGCATTATGAGAGAAATCTATGTAGGTGAGATTCTTGGACATCTGAAACGATGGGATTGGACCAGTAAAGTTATTAGATGAGAAATCCAAATAAACAAGATGACTGAGGTTTGCCATTGAATTTGGAATGCGTCCACTGAAATTGCAGACTGAAAGCTCTACCCTGGACAGATTTCTTAGGTTGCCAATAGAATCTGGTAATCTACCTGAAAAATTCGTGTTGCTAAGCACAAGCCTCTGAAGGGATCCATTTTGTAGAAACTCTGGCAAAGAACCATTAAGAAACCTGTTGTTTCCCAAGTCCAGAGTCTGCAATGTTGGTACCTGGAAAATCTTTTCTGGAAATGGTCCTTCCAAGTTAGAAGAACTAAGACTCAAGACTGTCAAATTTGTGAAATTTGCAAAGAACTCCGGAACTGAAACAGAGAGATTGTTCGAACCCAGATGGATCTCAGACAAAAACCGAAGCTTTAGAAGAGAAGAATCAATAGGGCCAGAAAGATCACAATTGGACAAGCTCAAAACTCGCAGATTAGGCAGTGAATATGATATAGTCTGACACCACTCTATCCCTGGGGCCGATATATTTACGCCATCAAGACGAAGCTCTGTAAGTCCAGTAAGATTCTGAAGAAGGGTTGATAAATTTGGGTTCTGAATTTGCAGGGACAGAATTCCAGATAAAGAAAAAATAGATAGATCGAGTGTAGCCAACCTTGTCAAGTGCGACAATTCAATTGGAATCTGCCCAGAAAAACCAGCGTTGGACAGATTCAGATATACCAAATTGGTGAGGTTGCCGATACTGGATGGAAATGGTGTGGAGTTTAAGCTGTTGTAAGCCAAATTCAACCTCTCAAGAAACTTGAGACTGAAAAGATTGCTGTTCTTGTTGACTCCACCATTGATTGACTCGCTGTTCAGATCGAGACCTGTAACATGACCACTTTGATCACAAGTCACACCTTTCCAACCACAACAATCGTTGCTTTGAGTCCAATTCACCAATCGTAACTTACTTACCGAGGTGAAATTGAGGGTTTTCTTCAATTGTAGCAACAAAGATCGTTGATCGGTGAGACATTGGCCGGAGACCAAGCCTGTAACCAAGAATGTGAAAAAGGGTATCAAGAAGAGCCAAGAAAATGGTAGAATTCTCATTGGACAGAGCTGTGAGATGATTCACAAACACCCATACGATTGAGGGTTGAAGAGGAAATGGAATTGAAATCAACACCCATCAACTGAAATTCTGGGTTTGGAAGATCAGTGGCCGACAAATCTACTTGGGTGTGGCACGGCAAAGACCTCAGGCGTCAAATTGAAAGTAAAATAATGAATAAAGACCAAGAAGAGTAGGGTATGAGGCAGAGAGTGGGATGGTCTGGTCACAGAGAGAGAAACCGCGTGGTTGTGCTTGTATTTGGGCGTGTTTGGCATAGGCTCTTTTGATTTTTTGGGCTAAGATAACATTAAAAATAAAATGTGTTAAAATAATTAATATTAGTCTCTTTACTCAGAACGGCTAACAGGACAGTGACGCTGTCTTATAATCATTTTATTTTTTTTCTTTTAAACATTATATCCAATTATTAAGACATCGTTTAAAAAGTTAGTTATTTTATTAGATTATTTTAATTTTACCTATTTTAGTATGTTAAAATAGTAATGTTTGGGAAGAATGTTGAATTTTTTTTAATTGAATGTACGAGAAAAAATTAAATAATTATAAATTTGATGTGATATTTTGTCTTATTTACTATTTTAACTTATTTTATTTATTTATTATTTATTTTTGTTTTTTTTTTTTGTAGATTTTAGTTTAAAAAACTTCCAAACCCAACTTGCCAAGCACCCAAAAAAAATTTAACTATCTTCTCAAATATAATTATTTTAACCTTCTAAAATAAGGAAAAATTAAAATAATCTATTAAAATAGTCAACTTTTCAAACACTCCTTTGTACAGGCTTTGTGTTGGGACGCGTTTGGCTGGTTTCTAGTTTCTTTATATTCCACGGAAGACTTTCGGAGCCATGCATGAAAGAGTAATGCTAGGGACACCAAATTTTCTACCAAACAAATGACCAAATGTCTCACATGGGTGTGGGGTCCACAATTTTGTAGGCCTCACACCCATGTGAGACATTTGGTCATTTATTTGGTAGAAAATTTGAGACCTCTAACATTTTCCATACATAAAATGTATATTTGGATTAATTTACGCGTACTTTAACTAATTTCAAATTCCGTGTCCTTTTCTAAGAAATTTCAGATAGAGCGTGTAGACAATGGCGCTAATGAGTTTTTTTTTTTTTTCATAAAATGTATATTTGGATTAATTTACGCGTACTTTAACTAATTTCAAATTCAATGTCCTTTTCTAAGAAATTTCAGATAGAGCGTGTAGACAATGGCCCTAATGAGTTTTTTTTATTTATTTATTTATTTTTTTTTCAAAGGAAAAAATAACGTGCCAATATCACGAGGAAATTAATAACACCTTTTAAAATTTGAACATGAGTCGCTAGTACCATCGGACATGTAATACAAGTATCATTCATCTAATTTAAATTTTAGATTTGAATAAAATCACTTCAACTCTTTCATTAATTTTTTAATAAAATATTTTTAAAATTTCTCCTCTTATCTCAATTTTTGTTTTCATCAAATTTGATTTAAAAAAAAAAATCTCTAATGCTTCGTCTTTTTCAATTTTCAGAATTTGATAAATTTTTAATTTAATTAAAAATATGTTTTTCTCTTGATGTGATGAATATCTGAAGAGTAAATTAGAGATGATTTTTGTACACTTTTTCATTAAATTTAAATTTAATAAAAAAAATAAGATTGAAGATTGAAGATACTCTTAAAAGAAAAACTTTTTTATTTGGTTTCATTTTTAAAGTTTGTTTTGTTAAAAAAATTAAAATCTAAATTTTAGTTTGATAAAAAAATTTAAAAATAAATAAATACTTAAAATGGATAAAATCTTTTGTTGTTTATTTTTGTTAATTTTGAAAATCAAATTAAACATAATGTCATATTTTTTAATTAGATTAACTTAATCTACCCATTTTAAATTTTAAATATTTTTGTGTACATAAATTAAAAATTAATTTTGTAATTTTATAAAACTCAAAGTGACACACCAACAGCCTCAGATGCAATAAGGAAGAATTCCTCCATCCAACTCTTCAGTTCGACCAGCTCAACAGCCATGCGAGCAAGGCAGTGAACCACTGAATTGCCGCTCCGACGAAATGTTGCACCACCTTCTCATCAAAATGTGACCAAACCCAGCAAGACATTCCTCCAATTGCACCCAACGCAGCCCCAAATCTATTTCCAAATCCACCGCTTCCCTACAGACCACATCAACCATCCCTGCGGCTTTATGGTTGAATTGACAAATCTTTATCCACAAAATTCTAGGAATATTTTCTTATTTAAAAAATGAAACTAAAAGTGAGTTGGTTTTTTGATTTTTTGACTTTTTAATTATTTTAGCCTGAGATTAAAAAGCCTGATTTGAAAAGGACTTTTTGACTTTTTTGACTTTTTTTTGTGAGAGAGGAGTGTAATGATTATGAGTTTGATTTGATATTTTATTTTTTTGTGACTAAAATAGTATATTTTGTTTTTTGTGGCTATTTTAGTCCCTAACCCACCAAAACCAACTTCTCAAACTATGCCTAACTAAACTTAGGCCAAGTTTGACTATCCTAAATAAGTACACATTTTTTATCTTTTTTCCATCACATCATCTCTCTACTTTTCTGCACATCTTTTCGTAAAAAGATAAAAAGTGCAGTTATTTAGATCATTCTAAACAACCCCTTAATATATGCATATACATACCTAGTGACATTTTGGGAACATAGTCCAAAAACGTGGCTGTCAAAAACGCAACAAAATCCTTTTGGGAAGTGCCAAAAACGCAGCCTTAAAATTACAAATTAGAGCCTATGAAAAAAAATAAATCTCTTATGTTGGATAAGGGTATTTTGATCATTTTAATTTGATTTGACACCATAAATAAATATTAAACTAAAAAGTAAAAAGTCAACTTTTTACCAACTTTTCAAATCACTTCCAAAAAAATAAAAAACTTGATGGAAAGCCTTGGGTTGGGCTATTTTAGCCACATTTGAGAAAATAGCCAAAAAGCTCACCTGTGCATGATTTTCAAAAAAAAAAGTCAAATGATTCGGCTGCTGCAGCAATGCAGCCTACACTGCCACCAATAATGTAGGCTGCAAACAGGTGCAATTACAATATTACCCCTACACAATAATTTTGAAAAGAATAAAGTCAGGGACAAATTTGTCATTTCAATTTAAACATCATTTCAAACAAATTTTTCAATACAACAACTCAAATAAAAATTCATCATATCTTCCCAAACACAAAAACTAAAATAGCCTACTAAAATAGCTAAATAGCCAAAAGGCCTAAAAAATAGCCACTTCCCAAACGAAGCCAAAAATTCAAAAGTCATCTTTTTACCAACTTCCCAAAACAACCCTTAGGGTTCCTTTAATTGTTTAACTATTTTAATTTAGGATTAAAAAGTATTATTTGAAATAAATTATTTTTTGACTTTTTTAATTTTTATAAGAAAAAAAATAAAATAATTATAATTTAAATGTAATTTTTTTTAATTTAAAAATTAAAAAAAATGAGAGTAAAATGCTTGAAGAGATGAAAGAAACAAATATTAAAAACTTCTAAATCATCCATACATCCATTCAAACCAATTCACAATTAAAGCTAATGAGAAATCCTATTACATAGCTAGGGTTTCATCAAAACCCTAGAAAAGACGACTAGCCACTCATGGAGGAGTGGGACGATGAAGAAGATGAAGAAGAAACCCCCATGGAAGTGTTCCTCAAGCCTTGGTAGAATATCCCTTTGTAGAACCCTAGCCTCCCTTTCTCTTAATTAATTTTTCGAACCCTAGGTTTGACTATTTTTTTGTCTTTTATTCGCAGCGAAACAGACCAAAAATTCCTTGCACGCGTCCCTAGGTAGGCCGCTTGTGCGCCCATGTGGGCCGCTCGAGCGATGGTGGGCCGTACGTGCGGTAGCCTGGCTGGCTCAGATTCTTCACTTCTCACATAGAGAATTTGCTTTCACGCCCTTTTTTATTGAAGTTTCATATTTCTTGCCAAATCTGTACAAGTGCACGAAACACATCATCTCCACCAAATAAATAAAATTGAAAGACTAAAACTGTAACTTAGGCCCCGTTTGGGAATAGGCTAATTTAGTAATTTTTTGGCTATTTGACTAAAATATGAGCTAAAAAAAACTAGTATGTTTGGGATGACTTTTTGACTTTTTACGAAAAGATGTGCAAAAAGTAGAGAGAAAAGAGAATCTTTGACTTTTTGGTATGGGTTGTTGGCTTTTTGGCTAATTTAGTAACTTTTTGACTTTTTGGCTAAAAAGTTCAGTTGCCAAACGAGGCCTTAGTATTATAAATATAATGTTTGTTTTGAGAGATATGGAAGAAATTATTAATTCTTTGGTATTAGTAGTTTTTTTGAAAGGAGAATTAATAAGGAGGAGGTAGAGATGGTATTAGAAAAATAGTGAGAGAATTAGAAAATTTTTTATTTTTTATATATTGGGAATTTTTTTAAATATAATATTTAATTTTATATATTTTTTATTTGTTTTATTATTTTATATAAAAATAATTTAATAATTTCTCACTATTAATCCTCTCACTAACAATCCCCTCACTATGAATCCCCTTTATTTTATCTCTGAAAACAAACGGGGCCAAAGAGAAAAACTACAAAACAACCCTACCCAAGGACAGACCCAGGCTGCTGCTGTTAGGGGTGGGAGCGGGTCGGTTGCGGCCACGAAACCTCCAATCCGCCATCCGTTCGCCAGATTGGCGGATTAGAGAAAATCAATCCGCATCCGTCCACCAATTCGGCGGATGTGGATTAAGCGGATTGGCAGTTTGGCGGATGGATGCGAATCGGTTTGGCGGTTTGAAATTTTATAAATTTTTAATATAGTTCAACTTGTGCACTTCCACAAAAAAAAAAAGAAAAAAAAAAAGAAAGTGTTACAGTCAATGACTTAAAAAAATATTACAATTACTGCATACCTCATCCAAAGAAAAAAAGTTTGAAACTTTAGAGTATCAGAATCACTACATGTCTCATCCACATAAATTATTATAATATGTGATTCTTAAAATATAAAAATAATTCAAATCACCAAAACCATGAACAGAGCACTAGTAGAGATTGTATGTCTCTGTATTGTTACATTTACATATGTTTTTGAAAACAAAAACCAATCAGCATATATTATATTTTCTATTTATTACTTTTAGAGTTAGATTTAAAAACCAAAAAATATAGATAAATAATACGTTTATTTTTTTCA